ATCACGCTTAATGAGATATTTAATAATCTTGTTTAGGGTTAATTGTGATTATAATTCAAGTGATCGCCAATAATAGATTTATTTGTGCATTAAATTCAACCAATATAGATAAACAGGTTTAGGGTTAATCCTATTGATTGCATGTTAATTAGAAAGCGCACATGAATACGATCAGAATAAAGTAGAGGCCTATTATTAGGGCAGGTTCAATCTCTTTTAGGTTGGATTTGTACCTTCATCCCCGAACCCTTATTTGGTTCAAGACCTTATGGAGTTGATGATCTCTTAGATCGTTAAGGGGTGTAACCTTCACCTCGTGAACGGTTTACAAGTTCCTTAAAAAACTTGTTGGCGACTCTTTTGCTCTATCTTCTTCCCTTTTGGACGCCACCGTACTTTAGTGTATGATCACAGTGGGGTTCAAGCTAGTGGGAATTAAAGGTTGAAATTTATTCCCTAAAGTTTTTGGCGACTCCACTGGGGAGGATTTCTATTTTAATTTCTGAATTTGTTTCGGCAATGATTTAGAATGAGTGGATAAGACTCGAAACGTTCTAAGTATTTCATGTGCGTAATTTTGATTAACATTATTGTCATATGCATAAAAAAGATCTCATTGGAAAGACCATCCGTAATGAGTTAAAAACATAGGATTTTACACGTAGGAAATTTGAGAAATATCTTTCACAACTAGGACCGAAATAACACCGCGCGAAACTGGAAAATTTTATCGAGCACAGAAAGCTGCTGAGGAATGTGGGAAGTAGCGTCAGGGGCCAGAGCTTGGCGCCAGTATTTTAGTTGTAGCGCCAGACGCCAGTATTGGCGCCATGCGTTACAGTTAAAAGCTGGCGCCAGTCTCTGATTGCTGGCGCCAACTTCTCCCAATACCGAGCTAGAAATATGCGTTCTAATTTTGACTGGTTTTTCGTATTGTTTGCTCGATCCTACTTCCTGATTGAATTTTTTCTCACTTTTCTGAAACCCATATGTGTTCTACATATGGACATAACCCTCTGGGAATTCATACTCCATCTACCCGATTGAACGCTCCGTGCAACAAAGGGTACATCCGAGATGTTGAATTCACCAAACCATGGAAGCGAGTTTTTTCTAAAACTCGCGGTATCCCATCCACTCGCGCCAACCCTTCACGGTTAGGCTTCCGCGCGGTGCATCCGGACAATTAACCATGGACCCTTTATTGAATAAACCATATCCCGAACTTTAGAGAACTAGAGCCATGGTTAGGTTGCAAACTCATTGCATCATATTGTGCCTACTTGACTAATTGTGCATTATTTGTTGTGCATACTCTATGTGTTTTTCCTAACCGTTTGTTTGACTTGTGATTAAGCCTAAATAAACTAATTAATGACTAAAGGAATTTATTTAATTAATTAATTAATTAATTTGAGCTAATAAATAAATATAAAATCGAGTCATAGTTCCTTTAAGTCAACCCGGATTTTTTATTCCCGTATACTGCACAAGCGTCAACTTGTTTTGGTCATATCTGGAGTTCTAGAAAGAACTACGAGTCGTAGAACCTATGGATCTGTAGCCCCGAGTTTTTTCTTTAATTTGGCGTTGGTTTCATCTAAATCAGAGTCACGGATAAAAAGTTATGACTAAAATACCACAGTTTGTCCAGTTTAATGCATATACGTGAAGTCTTAACTCAGTCTTTGCTTGGGTCTAGTCACATAGTCTAGCCACATGGTCATGACACGAGTCTTAATATGTCACCTACACTTACTAGTCTTAGCACAAACTTTGAGTACATCACCATGACCATGTCTCAGGTCCATGCATGAGTCGGTGTTTCCGTCATTTGAGTTGGGGGGTACATTCTATTCCTAATTCTTCATATCCCTCCATCTAAATCTTCTTCACATCCTATTCCATTTTTCTTCACTTCCTCCATCCATTGCATGTCGAATAAATCTTGAGTCAAATAATTAACAATAAGTATCCCCAAATTCCTTTTCCACAGTACTTAGTCGAGGAGAGAAGGGCGATTAATTAAGGACAACCTCTTTATTCAAGTCTCGCTTTTTGATAAACCGATTTGTCAAAAGAGGAAGGCTAAAAAGATAATGGAAACTCAAGAGGAAGTTAATGAACTTAGGAGTCAATTGACTAACGTGACTGAGACACTGAAGCTACTCACACTCAAGATCGATGATCCCGTGAAGCAACAACAAATGAGTCTCATGCAAGAGAGTCTAAGAAAGCTATCTAGCGACTATAAATTTCAGGGCATGAGTTCACAAGAGGTCTCGCTGGACAAAAAAACTTCTTCCGCATAAGTTCAACGCCACTGACATCCCTAAATTCAAGGCAACAAATAACCCTTATTTTCATCTAAGAGCTTTCGAAACTATAATGAATATTAAGGGTATTGATAAGAAGGTTTTCCCCTCTCTGTTCTCACTATCTCTTGAAACCGTTTGCCAACAATGGTACTTCTCCCTTGACAAAGAGAAAACCTCTACCTGGGAATCGATAGTAAACGCTTTCGTTGATAGGTACAAGTACAATATCCGAGTTGAAACCGACCATAGACAACTTGAGATGCTAAGACAAAAAGAGAATGAAGGTCTTACTTCTTTCTTTAATAAGTGGAGGGAAACTTCCGCTAAGATGATTGAGGTCCCCACCGAAAAGGAGTCTGTGAGGATGTTTATCAAGAATCTCCAAGAGAAGTATTCGAAGCATTTAAAATATCAACACAATTTAAATACTTTCAAGGCCGTTTATGACATCGGAATTGAAATCGAAGATGACCTCGCAAAGCAAAAAGATACTAACAATAGTAACCACGGTGGCTGGAAAGGAAAGAAGAACGACAATCCTTCTTCTTCCGAAAACGCCCACTCTAGTAACAATGTTAGTACCTTTGATCTCAGTGAAATTTTAGCCATAGATAACCAAGGATCTAAGAAGCAACTAAGGAAAGACTTCACCCCCATTGGGATGAGCTACGATACTGCCTTCGATCGACTCCATGCCAAAGGAATCATTACTCCCATTGGACCTATTCAAGATCCCACACCTAAAAAGAGATTGCCTAGTTGGAATCCAGACGAACACTACAAGTACCATCAAGGTAGGGGTCATACTACTGAGAGCTGTTGGAAGCTAAAGGAGGCTATACAACATTTGATTGATAATAACAAGCTTCCCATGCCTCCAGTTAACAAGAAGAGCGAGTGATGATGAAGGAAACAACACAAGACAAGAGACGAGCTTCAACGACAAGATTTCGTGACCTTTTTTTCTATTTCTTTTTCATTTTTTTTCCTTTCCCCAATAAGTCTAGCATAGGCACCTTTTCCTTTCCTTAGATTAATTTTTTAGATTCTTTATTTTCTTTTAATAAAATGAGCATTTATTTCCTTATATATGATCATTTCATTTCATTACATTGCAAAAAAAAAAAAAAAAAAAAAAAAAAAAAAAAAAAAAAACCCATGTCGAATTAAGCACAAGGTATACCAATGATTTGAGGCACCCTTTGTAGACACTTCATATTACCTTTCACCCTTCAAATATACATCCTTTTTTTGGTAAACCACTTTGAGCCTCGTCTAACGATAGAAACGATAGACCTGTAGGCGTCATTCGAAGTGCGCCTACGTTAAAAGCATGTGGTGAATATGCTTGGCACTCATAGGAAGTGGGAATTGACATAATACGATTAGGAACAAGGAAAGTAGGGAGCCGCCAACAAGTTTTTAAGGAACTTGTAAACCGTTCACGGATCATAAAAAGGCAACCACGAATAAAGGGACAACGATAGGCAACAACGATTGACCCGTGAAGGTTACACCCCATTCATAATCCATGAGATTACTAACTCCATATGGTTTGGAACCACGAAAGGAGGATCGGGGATAATGGTACGAAGTGAGTCATGGAGTCACATTCGCCCGTATTGGCCTCTACTCGATTCTTATAGTGAAAAGCATTCTTGTGATCTCAAAGGCATACAAACAATAATTCAATTCGCTCCAAACTATTATTTAACTAAATTGGTTTAAAATTAATGCACACATAATTCTAAAAATTGGTGATCACTTGAATTAACAATAAGATTAAAAGGGAATCTAAAACGGTTGTCCAAATTATCTTATTAGGCGTGATTTTCAATTACATATTCCCTTTAACATGCAATATGGTGATCAATAAAAAAAAGGATATTTTGGATTTTAACACCTTACAAAAGGCTGAAAATGTTTTTTAACACCCCCCAAAAAAAAACTTTTATTTTAACACCTCCCAAAAATATAAAAGTTGGAAGTTAACACCAGTTAACGATTTCCGTCACGGAAATTTAACGTGGGTCCCACAAATTGGCTTGAACTTCAATTTTCACCCAGCAAAACACGAAACTTCTTTCTTCATTGAATTCGCAGCAACCTTCTGCATTGAATTCTTTCTGAACCTTCATTGATTTCGCTTTTGAACCAAAGGAGATCTTGGCTGAGAAGTGGAGTGTAGGGTGGTGTCAACGTTGGAGAAGATAAGCTCAGGAGGGTTTCTTCATCATCTTCTTCAACTACAAAAGTGCGAAAGCCGCTTGAAATTCACAGAAAATAAGGTAAAATTGCTCTCCTTTGATAGCAATTTCGTCAATTACTGGTGCTTCATTGCTGTAAACCTTGCAATAATTGGGTAATTAGGGTAAATTTTGGGACCACAGTAGGAAAGCCTTGATAAATCAATTTCTGTAACTGACTATGCGACTTAGGTTAATTGGATTTCGTAATTGAAAGTAGAGATTAATTAAGGTGGTTTATTGTTAATTAAACTAGCAAGTGTGGTTTGTTGATTAATTTATGTTACTGAGCACCTACATTGGCTTGTATATGTTTATTTTCAATTTTTTTATGTGTTTGTTTGTGTGGCTGTGATGGATTTGTTTATTCGTATTGTGCATGTATAGTTACATGGCTTTTAATATGTTTTATATGTTTTTCACTGGTGGGTAGATAATGGGTGACAAGGATAGTTTGGTTGACATCTGCCTTAGAGTGGGAGGTGCTTTTGTCCCTAAAAGAGTAACCAAAAACAGGCAGCTGCTGTGTTGGTGTGGTGGTTGGTGTTACTGGAAGAGGAAGGTTCAAGTATCTAAGTTGGATGTGCATTTGATTAGAACAGCTGCAATTCATGGTTTTGTTAATGGTGATATGGATGTGCCTATGCATTACAGCTGTTGGTATAGGCAGAAGGGGAAAACCTTTAACACTGGGAAAAGGGAACTAGTTAACAGTGAAGAGGTTAAGGGCCTTTTGGAGACAGTAAATGAAGAGGGGTATGTTGAGGTTTTTGTAACAACAGAAGCTCCTAGTCAGCCCATACAAGAGGCCCAACCCAATCCTGCAAAGACAAAAAAAAAGGATAAGAAGGTAGAAAGTTCAAATACATCGACTATTAGGAGGAGCCCTAGGTTTAAGAAGACAGAAACTGAACAAAGGGAGGAGAGTCCACCTAGGAAAGCCTCAGCTAATGCTAAAGTGTTGAGGTTTGATGAAGAAAAGGATGATGGATGTGAAGGATCTGGTTATTCAAGTTCAGATTTGAGTGATGAGGGACAAGATTGGGAACCTGGTGAAGAAGAATTTGATGAAGGGGATGAGGAATGGTATATTGAAGGGTCAAAGGAGATCTTGGCCAAAGTGAACAAGAGCCTTAGGAAAGGTTTGGAGAGTGCAGTAGATGACAGGGTTGGCAAAGATAAGAGAGTGTTGGGAACATGTTACCATTGGGAACTCACTGGCATTCCATGTGTTCATGCTTATGCCTGCATATTGGATATGAGGGGTGACATAGAGGCTGTTGTTGACCCATACTATACCATGGACACATACAGGTCTGCTTATGAACCAGCTGTCCAACCAATGCCTGGCCCAAAGCACTGGGAGAGAGTCAGAATGAGGGAACCACTACCCCCTTCTGTTAAGGTGCAACCTGGGAGACCAAAGAGCAAAAAAAGGAAGCTTGAGCCAGGAGAATGTTCTTCTTCAGGTGGTCAGGCAAGTACCAAGAGGAAGAAGCAATGCAGCAACTGTGGGGGATATAGGCATTATGCCAAGACTTGCAAAGTACCTGCTGCACCAGCTACAGAGCTGATAAAGTCAGCAGGCAGACCCCCACTGAACACTCCTTGGATGGTGGAGGAGAGGAAGAAGAAAGAGATTAGGGCTGCTAAAAAGGTAACACAAGCATTACACCAACTCCCCCTTTGTTTTATATATGTATGTGTCTTTTCCATTGACTTTTTATTTTTATATGCATGTCATAGAGTGCAATTGGGGCTGGACCAAACAGCATAGGAAACAAAAAGTTTCCTCAAGAGCAAGAAGGTTGTCTGCCATTCAGCAAGCGCCCACAGCCACAGTCTTCCTCAGCTAAGCATTCCTCAGCTCAGCCATCCTCTAGTCAGCCATCCTCAGCTCAGCCTTCCTCAAGTCAGCCTGCCTCAAGCCAACCAAAAAGAAAGACAAGGTCTTCCTCAAGTCAGCCTACAACAGCCACAGGTGTTGTAACAAGGGCCAGGCTGCAATCCCTCAACAACCTTACTCAGTGATGTACTCATGCTGGATATCAAACATTATGTCTGTTGAACAATTTCAAACTTTTATTATGTACTCATGACTGGTTATGTAACTTGCTAGTTTTTTAGTGGCTTCCCTTAACAAATTTGAACAATTAGATATTGAATTGTAATGGTTGCATGGCTTTGATTGCCATTGAAACATGTTGAAGTAAGGTTCTTTTGTCAACCTGTACTTGAACTATCTTAGTGTTTCACATATTTCCCATGTTTTAATGTTTCACATGTTTAAATAGGTTGATTAAAAGACAAGGCATAAATAGGAACTTAGACAAGGCATAAATAGGTTGATTAAAAGACATATTTATAACACTTCAAGTCATTACAAGAAATTATAACTACTTAATACAGCTTACTATTACACACCCCTAGCCATTAGGAAAATTACACCCATTGACAAACCTATACAAATGGCCATGCCCACCCAACCAAAACAGCTGATTGAAGACACCTTCCCTTCATTGCACTCCCTGTTCATTCTCTTCCTGTCAGCGTTCAAGGCCTTGCATCTCATCTTCAAATTATCAACTTCATTAAGTAGGCACCTCCTTTGGCCACTGATTTCATCAACTTCCCTTTTCAATTCATTAACTTCACCCTTTAGCAGCTTCTTATCCAACAACAGGTTGTTGATAACCCCTGTTTGCCAATCTGTTCCATCAGGTTGATCAACCCATTCGAAAGCTTTGCAACCCCTTGTTTCTGTTATTGGGTCATAAAACTTACATGATATGAACTTCCTGCCTGGATTCTCCCTTGTCCAGCTAGTGAGCTTGGCCATTGGCACACCACACTTACATTTTCTGGCCTCAGGAGGGGAAGAGCTAACAAACGACATAATCTGCATCAATTTTAGATCGACAGTCACATTTACAGATTTGTACACTGACGAATTAACATTGACAGCAACAAAATTCATTTTTAATTTCATAATACGAAAAGCCCCAAATTCAATTTCTGACGAACCCTAATTTCGCAATTGGGCATTTAGATGCGTACATAACATAATCCAACCATTAATCTGAGTACGAAACAATTGCAAATAATAATTGAAGAGAATTTAAACCATAATTACCAAACAACCGAACAATTGACCGCACTCACCTGTTTCAGCAGCTTCAATCTGTTCCTCTTCTCAAAAATCGTGGAAGAATCGTGAAAGAATTGTTTCAAGTATCGTGCAACAATGCAATGCGCTGCTGCTATTCAATAAGAACAACGATTTCGTTCATTGGGGGAGAATCGTGCAAGAATGGTTCTTATATATCGTGCAAGAATCGTGGAAGAATGGTTCTTATATACAGATCTTTTAAAAATATATCCGTTGGGGTGGGCCCCACTAACAGTTCTGTTAACGGAAGATGGATTTTGGTGTTAACTTCCAACTTTTATATTTTTGGGAGGTGTTAAAATAAAAGTTTTTTTTTTGGGGGGTGTTAAAAAACATTTTCAGCCTTTTGTAAGGTGTTAAAATCCAAAATATCCTAAAAAAAATAATAGAATCAATATTAATATAAAAACCAACCTAATCATAATTCCAACAATATTAAAAAATCGTTAGAAAAATAACAATAGTAAAAAGAGCATAATCCTTACTTTGAACCTGTTTGTTTGCAACTACAAAATAATAAACGAGTTAGTAACTTCAAGGAAATAATAAAACAATAACTAAATTAAATTAAATTAAATAAGGTTGATTTTGGGGCCAAACCCTCAAACGATTCTACCTTTCACGCCTTGGCTTAAGGACAGAACCTCGAGTAAAATATGGACTCCTTTGAGTGCTTGAAGAAGGAATTTTGAAGTGAAAAGGGTAGGCTAGTGTTTAGGTTAATAGCATAGAAGAGAGAAAATAAGAATAATAGAATTCTAGTTGCCCCGTACATCAGAAATGAGGGGGTATTTATACGATTAGGGACAAGGAAAGTAGGGAGCCGCCAACAAGTTTTTAAGGAACTTGTAAACCGTTCACGGATCATAAAAAGGCAACCACGAATAAAGGGACAACGATAGGCAACAACGATTGACCCGTGAAGGTTACACCCCATTCATAATCCATGAGATTACTAACTCCATATGGTTCGGAACCACGAAAGGAGGATCGGGGATAATGGTACGAAATGAGTCATGGAGTCACATTCGCTCGTATTGGCCTTTACTCGATTCTTATAGTGAAAAGCATTCCTGTGATCTCAAAGGCATACAAAAAATAATTCAATTCGCTCCAAACTATTATTTAACTAAATTGGTTTAAAATTAATGCACACATAATTCTAAAAATTGGTGATCACTTGAATTAACAATAAGATTAAAAGGGAACCTAAACCGCTTGTCCAAATTATCTAATTAGGCGTGATTTTCAATTACATATTCCCTTTAACATGCAATATGGTGATCAATAAAAAAAAATAGAATCAAAATTAATATAAAAACCAATCTAATCATAATTCCAACAATATAAAAAAATCGTTAGAAAAATAACAATAGTAAAAAGAGCATGATCCTTACTTTGAATCTGTTTGTTTGCAACTACAAAATAATAAACGAGTTAGTAACTTCAAGGAAATAATAAAACAATAACTAAATTAAATTAAATAAAATAAGGTTGATTTTGGGGCCAAACCCCCAAACGATTCTACCTTTCACGCCTTGGCTTAAGGACAGAACCTCGAGTAAAATATGGACTCCTTTGAGTGCTTGAAGAAGGAATTTTGAAGTGAAAAGGATAGGCTAGTGTTTAGGTTAATAGAATAGAAGAGAGAAAATAAGGATAATAGAATTCTGGTTGCCCCGTACATCAGAAATGAGGGGGTATTTATAGGGAAATGTGCTGAGGGAGCACACGGAACCCTAAAATGATAAAAACCCTAAAAAAGTATCCTGTGACACGGTCAGACTGTACCGTCAGATGGTACAAGTTCCCGTGACACGGGAAATTTTCAGAAAACGGAACGGAAAACGCGTTAAGGGTTTACGCGGAAAGGACACGGAACATCCCGTGTCACGACAGACCTTTCGTGTCACGCGAAGTCCCACCGTCAGACGGGAATGGTTCCCGTGACACGGTCAGACTGTACCGTGACACGGTCAGTTCCAGTCCATTTTTCCGTCTAAATTCATTTTTAACCCTAATTTCTTTCGGCTTTTTAAGTGCTGATTGATAATTTTGGGCTTTTTCTGACTTTTATTATTTGGGCTAAAATAAGAAAATAAATAAACAAAAATAAATAAAATATTTGGGCCAAAAATAAATAATAAAATAATAAAATAAAAAGGTTCGGGCTTAAAATTAATTAACAAGTTTGGGCTAAAATTAAAACTATGCTTTTACCAAACACCAAGACTAATCCATGGACCTTTCAAAGGTATGAATTTAATAAAATATGATTTTTCAAGCACTCTCGGGATTACATACTAAACCCGACCAACAGTGACGGTGAAAGGTTATTTATCATCGGGTTTGGTTTTGGGGAGACATTTTTAGGTGTCTACAAGACCCTTCACTTTTTTCAACCCATATCTACCTAACCTTAGGATGGGATGGTGTGTAACTTATGCAATTTCAAAAAGTGCTTGAGTACTTCAAAAAATTAAAATATCATAAATAAGCAAAAAAAATAAATAAAAAAAAAAATAAAAGTGTACAAAAGGGCAAGTGTTCCAATGTCTTTGATATGAAAATATCTTCGATAAGAACACGTCTCAGATTGCGTCTCTTATCGAGTGCTCGGTACCGTGCCTGAGAAATATGAATGACAAATGAGTGATAGACCGCATGATCGGGATTGCCCACACTTATTAAATAAAATAAATGCTAAAGCAAAGAGAGCTAAAAAAGAGTAGAAACTCAGGCATAAAAATACAAAGATTCAAAAGCGAGGTTGCACACCTTGGGGGCTTATCTAGGGTCTTGAGCCTTTATCCCCTTCTTCTTTAAACCTTTAGCCTAACCACGTTACAACCCTTAAAAAGACCTCTTTGAGATATACACACACTTGTGCGAGGTTCAGCTAGAGTTACGTTCGGCCTGATTCCTAACGGATACGTAGGCAACCTCACATCGAGTTGCGGCCGTAATAAACATGCATTTACATTCACATTCACACACTCACACCATGATCATATCAAGGGATTCCCTATGCTCATCCCTATTCATTTAGAGCTAGACTTGGGGGCTTGATCCTTACATCATTAGCTTACCTAGCCTAAGAGTCACCACCATTTGACTCTTCTAAAAATAATATTTTCTCCACACACTTAGCCTTTGCAACCTAACTTTAGTGTCACTTTCACACACTGCACATATACATGACCAAATATACCTTCCCTTAGGAACCCTTTGTCATGGAATCTTAACACAACGTTGAAGCATGCCTTGTCGTATCAACATCACTCATCAATCATAATTGTCATAACATCACGAAGTATGAAGTGCTTAGCCTCCATGCCTAAGTTACCTAAATACTTTCATCATTGAGTCAACCATTGAGATAGCCTAGGATGGGTTAATCCTTGCAACTTGAGAGATAGTATCAAACAACATTTGACTAAGCTCATTCAACATGCATCTTCACACTTTCGATTCTTTTTTCGCGTCTTTCTTTTTCGGGAGAAAGTCGGTACCCTCCACAAAATGGCGGAAAATTTTTGCTTTTTGCATTTTTGAGTCACATTGAGTCAACACTATGCACACACGGGTCACGAGTCACACGTGTCATTTCACTTTGAGTCGAGTCAACATCGAGTCAGTCAATCAGCGATTCAAGTTTATACCTTGAGTCGTGTCAAGTCTATGAGTCAAGTAATGCTAAACCTTAGGTCAACCCTAAGATAATTAAAGAGATTGGAAAAATTTTATAGTCAAAAATAAATACAAGTGCAGCAGAATAGGGAAGACCCTACTCTAGAGATATTCCAGCAACGACAGAACAACAATTTTGGGTTCCTTGGTTCGCCAGTTATCCCTTATAAGCAATTTGACATGATTGAGTAGTCGATTTGATTACAACCGCAAATAAGTGATCGACCTGACTAAAGATCGTCTCACTTAGCTTAAAGAGCCTAAGAATTGGCTCATCACGGAGACACCGACATACTGGTTTTAGCAGAAGCAAAGTTCAAGCGAGCTTTAAAGATCAACAAGTGTTGGTCTTCG